TAGTGTATTACATCTACGTTGCTGGATTTGGTTCATACCTGTAAATGTTTCAAGTATTTCTGAGTCATCAAGACCTAAATTTAATTTGACCTTTGTGGTACATGTAAATTTGGTGCCAGGCAGAGCCCATGCCTCGACGGTGAAACTTTTTTAATATGGTGTCATATTTTGGTCTAAGCCCCCACTCCCAATAAAACCTTTATGATGTTAAAGGGACATCTATATTCATGTTCATCTTGTACGGTACATAAAGGTACATGTACCTTGCATTAGGTTTACCCTGAATTCTGCAATCGGGGATATCACATTTAGTTGGAGTGCAATGTAATAAAGCCATGAGGAAGCAGGCTGCAAGTAAACCATGAACTGTGTTTATATTTATACAATAGTGGATCCCAATCCTGCTTAGACCCACCTTTAAAACAGAAACAAGGTTTCTGAGTATGTACTATCACTGTACTTGCAGTCATTTTTGCTTACCACATAATTTTGAAATAGCCCAATTGCTAATCATTGCTTCTTTCACCCTCATTTCCTTCTTTTCAACTCTGTGCAGCCACTACGTATGTCCTTCAACCTATAATTATCACTCCATCACTCCAAAGCTGACCATGACAAACTTTTGGGAGTGCTTTTTGCACTTTCAGACTTTTACAAACTGTGAACTAAATTTTATAAGAAACAGAGACCCAACTACCATAGCTGAACAGAAAGACATACCAGTAACTGTGCATGTAACCTGTTGCATTATTTTTTGGAAGTTTCTGAATTGTTAAGATGGTATTGCCATGCAGGCGCATGAGAATTAAAAGGGTGGCATGGTGTGGTTGTGGATGGTGTGCAGGGTACCAACGTACATTTGTATTGCGCACTTTACTGCGTAGGGACCAGTGCACCGCTTTTGGACATCTCCGCACCTCTGCGACACGCAAGTTGGATTTGGTTGCGTTAAATTGTGAGGTCTGTCCAGCAATTGCATTTGCATGACATTGCGGGATCAGATCCATGCATGATGAGACCCGGATCTGATCCTTCCTGAAAAGAAGGTTCAAGAGAGGATCACCTCATGTTTAGATTTACTTGTTACCTTGTTAACCTTTTTGCTTTGATCCTGCTTGCAGGATCATATTTCCCTTAGACTCCACCCCACCTCCCCCACCTTGCATAATTCAGCGTAAATGTGGTGCATATACATGTACAAAACTTTCAAAACAAAACACTTTGTAGAAGGGTCACTTGATCCCCTACTGCATTATTTTGCTCACCAATCAGTGGAACTTGGAAGGCTGTGTTCATTTTATTCTCCAGCACTAGGAGTCCAATTGTTCACTTTTGTGACCCTAATGTTCATGTTCCTGGGACCTAGTAGCGCTGGTAGACCAAAGGGATTTCCCCTTGTATTGTCCTAGCACCTGCAGTTAAAGATAAAGGGATTTTTGCCCTATTGAATTAATGTACTGTACAATAGTCCCACCCACACTCATGGATGCACACTATATGTCCATATGTACATGTATCATTGTGTTGGTGTGTGCGTTTAAAATCAAGGGGGCCTTTGGGTTTTTCACAGTATAAAGATAAGTTTAAGTTCAGATGCCATTTTTAAGCAAGTGTAAACAGACAAGTAACTACTAAAGCTTATTCAAGATAAAGAGCAAAGATCATGAACATGTAAGCAGTGTAAAACTTTTCCATCTTTGTTAAATGCTTGAGGAAAAATCCTGTTCTTTTTATGGCTCCATGTGATGGTAATACATCAATGACATTTGTTTCTTTTTTTGTACCAAACATTTTGTCCGACTCAGTTTGTTGACCCGTGTTTGGATGCAGTTTGTGGGCGTAAACACCAAAGTGCACACCTTTGTTCCTTCTGTCAGATTCTTTCAGATTGTGAGGGGCCAGTGGGGTAAAACTAAAACGAAAGTGAAACAGACGTACACACTCACAAAATGGTTGAGGGTTGGTGGTGAAATTCAGACAAAAGCCCATGAAATCATTTGTCCCTTGACCCTAACATTCCCAGATCCCTCAATATCTACATGTCCCCAGAGTTTTGGAAGGATTTTGTACGATTGAAAAAGACCAGTAGAGGACATTAACAACCCAGACCCTGTCACTTGTAGGCACTGAAGAACCTTGATGAGGGAGTTTGGCTTTGTCATACCATTATAATGCAATTTACACGAAGTTTCAACATCTTTGACTGTATCAAGTGACTGTCTACGTGCTGGATTGTGATTTTGGTGCATGGTCAAATGTAATTGTATAGTCTTTGCTGTGGTTTTCCTTTGTCATGGTCTTTCCTTTACTGCTTTCCTTTCCTGTGTATCATATTTGAACCACAAACTACATTGTATCATGCCCCAGTATGACGCATATACCAATGTATATGGTCCAACCATGAGGACTACCTACGTTGTACAGCCCAGTGTGCTTACCTTGCAGTTGGATTTCTTTTCCTGGAGACACTGCTCATCTCAATCTTTCTAATATAAGAGCTGAGTTAAGGGCCCAATTAATGTCACATCCCTGCTAAGCACACAATTTTACACCATCCCTGCTAAGCACACAATTTTACACCAATGGAGACTCTCATGGAGAGCTTTGAGTAGTAAGCAGGGTAAAAGGCATGCACAGAGAATTTAACTCAGTAACATAAAAGGAAATCTCTATGCATGTGCACTGCAGCTTACGGTTAGCAAGTTTTTCGGCTATAGTTAGCACAATTTTTCTGCTGTGTATGTACATGTAGCAGGTGGAGTTTGGCCCAGATCTTCTAGATGGTTTTTGTATTGTTTGTATGAAGTGACTGATTAAGTCACCAAGTGATTTAAACAGTACACTCACTGAGCAAGGCAAATTGGCTGGACACCTGTGACAGGAAGTTTACTGAAGTTTTAGCTTGTAATTCAGATTCTGTGCAGTAGGGGCGTAAATTGTGAGCCTGATAACACTCTTTGCAACATCAGCTCTAATTTGATCCTATCGCCACAAATGTATTTACACTGTACTTGTTTACATGTATAGTGAATCATATTTATGTACATAAACCACCTACAGTTCTTCTTTATTTCCAGGTACATTTGTAAATTTATGTCTGCATTGTATTCACTTTTTGGAAAATGTCAATTTATAATTTATAAGTGCACAGTGCAGTCCTGAAGAAAGTTATGTTTCCCTAACTCAACTCGTCTAAAAAATCAGAACGCCTCCTGTTGATTTTTTTTTAGCCTTACTATTTCCATTTTATAAACAAACAAAATGTACTTTCCTGTTGTGGTACCGGTACATACAAAACTCTGAGAGTGTGGAGCACTGGGCATTGGCCCTCACTGCCGTTATGGGGTAGCTTTCCTCCATCAGGCTAATCAGGACTGAGTTGTGGGGACAGATCCCAGTCCTCACAATGTTTTGGTCCCCACCAAATTGATGTAATGACAAGTGTGTGTCGCCACACTTTGGGAGAAGGTGTACATGATCCATGAAGGTATACATGTGCATGGTTTGATGAGCTAACCAATATTATTTACCACTGAGAATTTCTGTTGTAAACTGAATGGCTTATAGTTGATTTTCAGTGTAATAACTACAGGTATGGCTTTATTTGAAGTACCGGGGTACTTGTTCTTTTTGTATCTGTTGTACAAGTACCTACCGGTGTATCTCAATGATTTGAGAGAAAGAAGCCCCTGTAGACACAAAAACCATTCTAGTAGACAAACCAACCGACTGACCCACCTGATTTTTGTGCATATGACGGTAACACAACTTTTTTTTTCTTGATCCGCTTGCTATGCATCACAGATATTGACCCAGCTAGGGTCTGTTTGCCTACGTTGTCATTTGGCTGATCCTGTTTGGCATGCTGCCAACAACTGGAAAAGTCACGGCAACCAAACCTTGGGTGTTGTGAAACTGTGAAGCGTGTACACATGTACATGTACATGTACATGTACATGTATGTGTACTAGTTCATGTACATGCATGGCACAGTGGTCTCCATATTCTGAATTTTACAGGTAAGGGTTAGAAACTTAGTTGAGACTGATAAGAATATTGAATGGAGGACAGGGGTAGCACGAGGTTCAGGGTCCACTCTATAAGCCCCACACCCTAATTTAGGCCTTTTGCATTTCTAGGCACATCAAAGATACATCCAGATCCTTTGTGGGAAAAATAGGGATCTTTTACATGTACATGTATGAACTGTACATGTATACACATTCATAGACAGCTTTTTAATCAAGATAATGTTTAAGATGAAACATTACAGAATGGAAATTTATGTAGTGTACATTATACCAGCCACAAATGTAAACTTGATGAATTTTGTTTCGTCCGTGTTATTGTTGATTTGCGTCTCCAGTGTCTTAGGGTGCCGTCCATGTACATGAATATTGTACAACACTCTATGGGCACACCCTTGGGTGAGAACAGAGGTCATGTGGGTATGCCTTGACCCATTCACATTACTGGCTGTCAGCACGGGACTTTTCTGCGATGGGAATACTAACAGTGTACTGTAATTCCTCCGGAATCCGGGTTTTCCCTTTAAAAACACCGCTGGAGGAAGGTTAAACTAACAACTGAGGACATTTACCTTCTGTTGGACAATGAGTGCAATATCTGAAAGTTTTACCCCATAAAAAGTCTAATGCAAACATGGATAGACATCACGATTGTGGTTTGGCAATAAGTACTATCTCCACCCTAACTTTAGAAAGGACCCCAGAATCTGATGATTTTTTTTTTCAAGCAACAAAGCAAAATGCAGACCTATGTAATACCCATTTTGTCCGTCTATCTCAGCAACCATCCGGCTGGCTGGCCGGCTGCTTTTCAAATTACAGTGTTTTTACTATCAACTTCAAATTTTATTGTGGGTATTTGTTTTTTTGTGTCATTATTATTTGCTTAATTCTGATATTTGATCAATATCAGAACTTTGTGTATGAGTACCATAATGATTCATGCCTTGAAGTGTATTTTACACAATATTTAATGAAGACATTGAACAAAAGCTTTCAACTGCATTATACTTTGCAGTTTACTTGTACTATAGGCCTACACATACTTTACTTATAGTTATACCGGTAGGCCTTCTTTACTAGAATTTAAAGACGCATCCCGACCCTTTGGTCGGGATTTGGTGGGAAAGGGTGGGATACATGTACTTGTAGGCTGGTGTGAAGTAGGGGGGGTCTTGGTTGGGATTATCATCAGGGATATGGTGGGGTTGAATGGGAATTAAGATGATGTGGAAATTTATTAGTGTGGGATGGGGATTTTTTTTGTGAAAATGAGATTGAAGAGCCACTTTGGAGTAAAAAGTCCTTTAGAATAATTTTGCACAGTGTACATCAATAGGAACCCACAGCATTTTTCACCATGGAGTATCCACTTTCATCAGGATGCCAAACTGAGTGATACATCAAAACAAAAACTCAGTTTGCTCTTTCCAATACAAATGAAAACTCAAAAAGTTGCTCTGGCGACTTTAGACTCATTTTCACAGAGTGGGTCACATATTGGAACGGATGGGGTTAAGTGACGATGGTGGCTGATTATGGATTGTGCATTTTCTGATTTGTTTTTTAATATGTTCAACATTTACCGGTATCTTGGATTAGATCAATGATACATGTACACCTCACCAAGCCGTAAATGTTGGAAAGCTGGTGGAAAGATGACAAACTGATCACACAATATATGCAAGAAAAGACAGAAAAAACAAATATTCTTGTGTTGCAGTAGTTTGCGTTTATGTGTGGATGAAATGTACAATAGAAAGGTAGCAGCAAGCCATGACTGGTACACGTACATGTAGTTGTACACTCATACAGTAAGAACACAGCACTTACTGTGGACCAACCTTTTTCTCGCAGTTGCTTTCAATGAGCAGCTTTTTGTTTGTAATTTCAACAGAAAAAGAGAAAAAAAACCAACAACAAACAGAGTGACCCAGAATGACATTGCGACAACAGTGCCTTCGGTTGTCCAAAAACAGCATGGAAAATTTTAAATGTCAAAAGAAGTATGTTTTCTGATTTGAAACGTTTTCAATTTGAAACCAAAAGGGATACTCAATAATATTCATGCTTTTAAGAGGAGTACATGTAGAAAGTAAGACAGATGTTCAAAATCCCCTAGACTTATAATCTGGTTCATCCATACTTCATATCATGTACATGTATCGTACGTTGGTTTTTCTAAGCCCTAGTTTTTAATTGGCAGTTATTCCAAGAAAACAAGGCTTCATGTTCTCGATTTCCATATCTCTGCTCAGAATTCTTTGGAACCTGTTTGATTTGAAAAGCTACCTTAGTTCCATGAATGTTCGACCAAAGTTTGTGCTTTTACTTACATGTACTTGTATGTTGAACTCAAGGAAATGGAAAGGAAACAGACAAGTGTTGAGGTACATTGGCTGTTTGCACTGCGAGTCTGCGTTTCACTTTCTGTATAAATATGTACAAATGTACAAATCTAAAGAATAGTTCTTGGTTGTACGTGTTTTTGGTGAGATTTAACTGTCCTTTGTTATCCCAACAATCACATTAATTATTGGTATACTTCTGTTTCCTGAGGGGTATTGCCCATGTTATTCTTTCCTATCCCTATCCAGTACTCCCCCATAAGGAAATGCAGAGAAACTGAAATGATTCACCTGTTAGCGCTGCTTAATTTGATTGACCATGATAGAGCAGCATTTGTCAGCTTTCTTGGTGTCCATTCCACAAGGATGTTTGTAAGCCCTGCGGTTATATTGTCTGCTAATGCTATTGTTTTACCGTTGAAAGAGGAAGAAGTAATTGTGCTCTTGAAACATAGTTGTGTATTGGGACTCTGTCAGCATGGCCCCCTTGATCCTGACTCTTCCCTGCCCCCACCCACGTGTACCGGTCGTATTTGTGTTCCGTCAGAATAAATAACTTTGCTCAATCTAGGGCTGTAACATGTAATTGCTTGCTAATTGCTTGCCAATTACATCTACATTCAAGGACTGTCACAACTTTGAAATTTCAAGCAAGTGAACTACCGAATGTCAGTGATGATAGTTTAACCTAATCCTTGTTTTGTTGTTGTTGTTGTTGTTGTTGTTGACATTCACTTAAATGTTCTGTACATGTACATGTACATGTATGTACCCGGGAATGACTTGGTGTAAAAAAAAACTGACAGTTGCATTACACTAGGCTTGATGGAAGTTATTACTCATTGCTGGGATCTTGCAAAGGCTGTTGCTCAAAGCTGGGAAGTACCTTGTCCAATTTATCATAGAGCTATGGGGCCTATCCAGGCTGTCATTACCCAGGGGACCTTTGCAGGGGCTTGTAACCTGAGAATTACTCCTGAGGTTTTAAGGGTACAGTCCACTAATTCAAGCCCCATTGAAAATAGTGTAAAATCAGCACTATTCAGGGCCCAGTAACATGCATGCCAACATCCCTGAGATTTCTGAAACACAAATGAAATTCTTGTCTGGTCACTAATCTTTCAATTTCTTTGCAACTTTTTTGTGGGTTAACCAATTATATTTTTAATTATTCCCACAAAACAAAATCACCCCCCCAAAAGTGATTTTTTCCGAAGTCTGATTGCAGCCAGTTTTCAAGTGGCGACCCTGAACTTTCTCAGGCACTTACAACCATTTTTCAACCGTAGTTTTCAGCCATTCTCCTTTCATATGAAAGCTCAAAGACCCAGGGAGTTGATCCTGGCAACAATTTACACAATCTCACCATTTTGGGGGCCAATCAATCTCCTTTTTCAAAAGATACTGCGGAGGCACTTTTGATACAAATAAGCTGGCTAGACATTCTCACTTGAATTAGTGGTCTGCACGGTAAGGAACAAGCTTAGCAGTATCACCATGGCAGTAAGGTTTGATGGGTCACCTTTGCCCCTGCTGGATCCAACCTTGGAGCTATAAAACCTATCCAACTAGTAACTGTACATGTACCCTGGTTTACCAAAGTTTGCATTGGTGGACATGCGATGGACCAGGACATATGCAATAGGGTACTTGATGTTGTCTTTTGTTTTAGTTACAGTTTCAGTTTATTCATTGATCTGAAGTAAAAAGAAAGAGGTGCAGTACATAGCACCCCAATCTGGTACTTTTACTTGGTACTTGTACTCAGTTGAAAACTTAATATCGGTGTTTTTTGGGTTTTTTTTTCAAACTGGCCTCTGTTCCTTGCTCTGTGGTGCACCACAGTTGTGTTGGACAGTCGCAACAGTGTGAAGCCTATTTCAGTCTACACAAAGAAACATATTTATGTGTACCGTTGTGTGTTTATGTAGCTGGACGATGAGGTTCTTTGTTCCCTCTGCAATGCTGTACATACTGGTACCGTACTTAAGGCAACATTTGTTGAATTTGTTCAGATTCAACAAATGCTGGGTCATAATTACAAATGGGGGTCGGAGTAGGTTCTAGACATTGTTCCCTTCCCTCCCTTATGGGGTCAGAGTTAATGCTGGGTCATAATTACAAATGGGGGTCGGAGTAGGTCCCAGACATTGTTCCCTTCCCTCCCTTATGGGGTCAGAGTTAATGCTGGGTCATAATTACAAATGGGGTCGGAGTAGGTCCCAGACATTGTTCCCTTCCCTCCCTTATGGGGTCAGAGTTAATGCTGGGTCATAATTACAAATGGGGTCGGAGTAGGTTCTAGACATTGTTCCCTTCCCTCCCTTATGGGGTCAGAGTTAATGCTGGGTCATAATTACAAATGGGGGTCGGAGCAGGTTCCAGACATTGTTCCCTTCCCTCCCTTATGGGGTCAGAGTTAATGCTGGGTCATAATTACAAATGGGGTCGGAGTAGGTTCTAGACATTGTTCCCTTCCCTCCCTTATGGGGTCAGAGTTATTGATGTTTTGTTTTGTTTGTTTTGTAACCAGAAGCACTTGTACAAGAATTTTGAGAGGTTGTTGCCATAGTTTGTTTGCTACATTGTTGCTACCAAGGCAACTCAGTTTCTTGCCTGTAATTTTCCTTGCTCTTATACATGTATTTATGCAGAGGTTCAAAGAGGCCATCTGTGAGAGTCATCTTCCAGGAAGTCAGATCCCGTGATAGTTCCACCCTGACCATGAACTGTGGCATATGCCGCACAGACATGTATGCAAGCTGGTACATGTACCCTATGCAGGCTGGTACCCCTACATGACACAATTGACAGTATTTCTTTGTAGCATGACAGGGATGTGGTGTGCTGGTAGTTCTCTGAATTGTTTGTACAGTCTGCAGTTTGCAAAGTACCATTGGATTGATGTGGGGATACATGTACATGAAGTGTACAGAAGTGTGCACGTGTCGTGTCAAGCAAGGAAGTCAACACTCAAACACAGGAATCGTGATGCATGATTGCGGGCCACATATTTTAGAGGTACCATAACTCAGGGTGGTATGTAGTGCAGTGGTCTGAATTGAGGTACTGCACATGCTCAGCATTCCGACAAGGACAAGGGACCATTTGCTGTTTGGAAGGTCAGAGATTATCAAGTGCAGTGTTATCAAAGTGAAAGTGGATTAGTCGCAACACATACATGTATACAGAGAGGCATCCCACAGCAGGAAGAACGTGGTTTTTCATATCTTACCGATTGCTTGACAGGAAGAGTTGGAGTGGCTTGTGTTTTTATGGGATTCAGAGACTGTTTTGATCGGCTTTAAAGAGGTAGAAATGTGAACTCTGTCAGGTGTATGGAACACCAGCTGTGCAAGGATTTGTAGCTGCATCCAGGAGAGAGAGATCAGGGTAAGCTACCTGTCATGGGTCTGCCCGTTGATTCCAATCTGGCACCCGACACAAGGGACACAGCCAACCGTAGCTATTCATCTCAGAGCAGTGATGACTGTTCGCTCTTACGCATCACCAGCATCACGTCCAGCGTGAACACCTGCAGCAGAGGCAGCTTTTCCCAGTCCTCCACTACCCCTCTCCTGCTTGGGTCGCCCATGCAGGGGCACCTTCCTCAGCCCTCTGTAGCCAGCCCAGCATCCAGCTGTCAGCTCTGCTGCCGCTGGGACAGCCTCAGCGAAGAGGAGAAATTGAAAGAGTTGGTGAGGACGGTGTTCAGACAACCAGACAGCATCCGTTGGCAGACCCCCACGCGAAGAGTGAAATTGGAGCGAAATGGCAAAGGATCACTTGGTTTCAAATACACAAATGTCAAAGTAAGTACATGTTTTCTTTGCTGTTAAAATCGTGCTTTTTATGCCTATGTCTATACATATGGTATGTACATGAAGTGGCTTTTCAAATCTTGTGGCTTGATCTACGAGAGGTTTAGACACGTAGATCTTTGTCATTTGCATACACATGATCTCATGTTGACAATAGAGATTCTATACAATGTAAGTCTTGAAGCTGTTACTGAATGTAATCATATACATGTATTTTCAAGATGTATTTTTGCATTTGGGAGATGTTAATTAATGTAACGGGTTTTGCCCTTACCCAACGTATATATTCATAAACACTGTATGCTCAGTGCTTGTCCGAGAGCTTGCGGCAAGCTCGGTGGTCAAGTGGTTAAGACATCTGCACTAGTAAGCAGGAGGTCGTGGGTTCGAGTCCCACCCAAGTAAGCTTGTGACTTTTTTGCAAGCTCTTGGGCAAGCACTGAGCATACAGTGTTTATTAATATTACGTTGGGTAAGGGCAAAACCCGTTATATAAATTAACATATACATGTAGTTGGAAACTTGAAAGTACGTTAGTGGCCTGCCTGACTTTTATTTGCTCTGTCTGATCAGAACTGTTATTAAGGTCTTTCTGGTCGATACTACTATAGTATGCTGATTTAGTGTCTTTCAATATTCATGAGCATAACAGTAATGCTAATAGAGTACCAAAGCATGACATTTTGACCTGGAAGTGGGGTGGCATGTGTTGGTTTACAAACGTGTTCTCGCATTGATGTCTTTTACATATACATGTATACCGGTAATTGTGCCAGTGAAATAGTCACTTTTGTATTCTGTTTATGCTAGATGAAGCTGCAAGCTTCAGTGGTTCAGTTGATATTTCTCCAGAATTTGTTGTGATGTTGGTCATAACGTTGGTTTTTTAAAAAAAAAGCAAGCGCAGAAACAAAACTTTCATTAAAAAAGGTAAATGCAGTTCATTTATTCTTGAAATAGTCGCAACATGTGCAGCATATTAAAATATTTGAATTGCATGTGTCTTGAAGTTTGTATGGATTACTACAAAATCATACAATGCTTTAAAGATTTGTTCGAGATTTCCTTATAAATGCCATTTCTCTGCACTGCATTTCATTGCAGGGAAAAATATCCTCGTACACACTGATCTCCGAGGTGTTCCACGATGGATCGTCTTTTGGAATAGTTGGTGTGGGAGAATGTATCCTTTCAGTCAATGGACAACCTTTGAACAGTGAAGAGGTACTAGTAGAAGATATTTCTGAGATGAATGCAAAGAGAGATCAGGAGGGATAATGTGAAGTTGGAGCTATTGTTGTACAAACATACCGTAAAGGCGTTTCAACGGGCTGTAAGGGGGTGTGTCTTCCCTTTCCCCTCCTCCAAAAATGCCAAAAGAAGGAAGACAAGGGACCACCCCTCCCCCCACCAAAAAAAATCCTGTTCATGACAGTGTGAATGATCCACTTGGATTTACATGGCAGAATATTCTTTTACAGTCATTCACATTCATTCTTTGAATTTGTAATTGTTCCAAGAGAATAGTACATGTATGTACTGTTACCCTTTGGTTTCCTGTTGCCTATGATGCTCAGCAATTCCTGTCAACATGTACTTGGATATTAGAACTCTTTTTTTTTCTCTCGCTTGCTTTTTTGGGGGGGGTGGTTTCTCTTGTGCTTTTTTTTTTTCTTGTCCTTTTTTGCTGGTGTTGGGAGGATTTGTTTTTTTTTTTTAAATCATTCCTAAGCATTTAGGGACAAAAGGTTATTGTAAGTTTCTGAATCCTTTCTGCTGGAACTTACATATACTTGTACGTACATTGACTGCGGTCTTCAGTCCCTGAATTGTTTACAAGGAGAGTGGACTTGCCTTAGGTAAACTGTGCCATTCTTGAATGTCAAGACCATACACTTATGCTACTTGTTTGCCATGTTGACTTGTCCTTGCTGAAAACATTTTTCATGGGCTAACACCTTTTGAGAGCGAATACATGTACGTCATTGCAAAGGAAGAAAAATAGGCCATGAAAGCAGGGGGATTTCAGTCTTACAGAGCACAGATGATTAATTGTTTCTAATTTCTATAAATTATTTGTTTTCTATTAGGGTATTACATTACGGTCAGTTGTCAGTGTGGACAAAGACAAGCCTGTCTACCTCATTATTCAACGCCCTGAGGCAATAAATTGTGGGAAGAAATGTCAGAGGTACAGCCTGCAAAGATCTGTCAGCAGTGAAAGACTCAATGGGGACATGAAAACTAGGGAAGCGCTTGAACTTGAAGAGGGAATGGACAGTGGTAACTCTTCCCACACTTCGTTGTCCTCGTCTGACAAGAGGGATGCCCTCCTGCCCAAAAGCCTAGAGCACAGGCTCTCAGCTCTGGCCAACTCTGGGAATGTTTCCCGTCTGGATACCCTTATGCCGAGACTTCCCTTCTTGAGGATCCTGATTTCTGGCAGTCAGGCAGAGACACTGGCCACCTCGCTCGTGGGGCCAAGCATAGGCCAAGCGTTGTCAAAATCGAACGATGTTGGTGTGTATTACCAAGCTTGTTTGAGCCGAATTGGCTCCAAGCTCTCCTTGGCCGGATCACAGGAAGAACCCAAGAAGTGGGTAACGGAACTCTTGGAGTCTGTTGCTGGTAAGAACAACTTGAAACCCAATGCCTTGAGTGATCGCATTGAACTTGAGATCATAGCCTTGAAGTCTCATCCCTTCTCAGCCTACTGTCAGCACATCCTTGCAACTGCCCACTCCATCTTTGTCATTCAGTTTAGCTGCCACGACTTCCTCAGTAATGAACGGTCAGTCCTCCTTGACATCCAAAGGCGGTTGAACAAGATCCGTACCTACACGTCCAATAGAGCCCCAGTCTATCTGGTAATGAGCGTTGACAATAGCTTGCCATCAGACCAGCTTACTGCCATCGGACAGAGACTTCACAGGCAGTTTGCCAAAGCCTTTATGAATCAGCTCCAGTACAACTCCACCACCAACTGCCCATGTTTCCAAGTTGTGGGAGCCAACCCAGCAAACGTCAGCCGATCATCCACTGACCTCCATCGTCGAGTGGATGTAGAGTCGAATTCTGACAGAGGGCAGTGCCGCATCATACCATCCAAGAAGGGCAACAGCCTGGACGTCAGCTACTGGGCTGGAAACAGCATCCCAATGGGCATCATTAACCCACAGGATAGAGGTTTCGAGATGAGCAGCCTTCGAGACCACATTTTGCACCTCGCTTTCAAGCAGCCATTCATCACAGATTGTTACCCCTATCTCTACCTCCTGCATCGGGAGAGAGTTCACCGTCTGAAAGAGAACGGCCTTCACTATGCTTTCAAAGCAGGAATCAAGAAGGAATGTCAGGAAATTACCTCAGAGAAGGAACTGCATAATTTGCTTTCTTTCCTTCACCACTGTGGAGACATAATATGTGCTGGTGAGTTATTATGTTAGCCTCCCATTTCAAACACATTTTTCTTCCTAAGTAGAATGGATTGAGATTTCTGCTGCAGATGCATCGATTTGGAAATTTTTTCCAAGAAAAAGGACCTTGTTTATAGATAATTCCTTTTCTTTGAAATGAAAAGTGAATGCAGTTTACAGTGTTAACTGATTTTAAGTCAATTTCTGTATTCAGTGTTCTAGTAAGTTTTTGACTTGTAACAATTGTGAGTGTGGCATTTAACCAGTACTGTCTGAAAACAATACCAGGAATATCATCCATTTTAATAAAAATTTCATGTATCTGCCTAAATTTGTGCAGATTTCCTTCCGTGTCGAAGTTCCAACAGCACTCTGTTCAGAATAACCAGTAACAACGTGTTACTGGACCGTTACCATCTCATCATGGCTACCAAACAGTTGACGACTATTCCTAGCCGCTCTGAACAACAGGACCCCCGCTTTCCAAACTCTATGCATCACTGGGAGGAACTTGGGCAGAGCTCTCTCGCCTCATCAGCATTCCTGGAACACCTACTGCGTTACGACCCCAAGAACGACCCAGGGAATCTGCTGACCACACTGGGCCTAATGGGTCTTATTCACTGCCTGCAGCAACCTGAGGCGGAGTCCACCAAGTACCTAGTGCCATTCTTCCTTCCTCAGGAGGCGCTGACCACCTCCCCTCCTCGTCATGGCTCCTCCTCTTCCTACCGGTTGTGCCTGGACTTTCATGGCAGCCTACCCGACGCATTTTTCCTAGCATGGCTGGTGCACTTGATGAGGAAGGTCTTTGAGACCCACGGTAGATGGCGCATCGATGGGCCAAACTCAGCACAGCTGAGCCTAGCGAATGACTGCGAGATGGATGTGTCATGTGATGAGGTGGAGAGCCTCATCACAATCTCAGCAAGGTTAGGAAGAGGATACTTTCATATTCTCATATTCTCTTCAGTGAGTGGCTGTTGAAGTTGATCAGTGCCGTTAGCTCAGCTTATTCATTCTTGACATAAAGACAATGCCATATAACCTTTGAACAGCCTGAGGCAATATCAGTGTTGAATGGTATATAGACCTTGCAGATGTTGTGACCCCAGAGCCTTACAAGACATTCACATACATATACATGTACATGTACATGTACATGTGCATGTACATATACATGTACATGTACATGTACATGTACATGTGCATGTACATGTACATGCTTGACTATCCTTGCAACTCACCCCTCCTTGCCGCCCTCCCTAAAAAAATTCAAGAGTGGTCTTTACGTCACAGTTGTAGTGTTATTGTGTCTTCCTCTCAACACCTACATGACACTGACATATCCCCCAACAAAAATGGTATCCACTACACGATTAGTGGAAGAACCGGTACAGTACATGTTCAGTCAAGATTGAAATCAGAATACATGTATTTGTATAAGGTTAAATCCAGAATTGCGTCCCTCCGTACTCAAACTGTTACATGTACATGTATGTTAATTTATTTACCGGTATTTGTCTTTTTGATAAACTGCTGGTGTAGTACAATGAAATATTCAGTTGTTTCTCAAAATGATGAAGCTTTGCTGAATGAGAAATTATCCCTTTGTGCTAGCAAAAATGCCCGAAGGGATATATGTAATTGTAATGATAATAAGTTGTCACTTTTCAGATGTACTTTGCATTGGGGAGATGTTAATTTGAATTAACGTACAGTGTATATAAACACAGTACACTCAGTGCTGTCCAAGAGCATGTGAAAAAATTCACAAGCTTACTTGGGTTGGACTTGAACCCACAACCTCCTGCTTATTAGTGCAGATGTTACTTTGCAGTGCAGGTGTTGCTTTGCAGTGCAGGTGTTGCTTTGCAGTGCAGGTGTTGCTTTGCAGTGCAGGTGTTGCTTTGCAGTGCAGGTGTTGCTTTGCAGTGCAGGTGTTGCTTTGCAGTGCAGGTGTTGCTTTGCAGTGCAGGTGTTACTTTGCAGTACAGATGTTACTTCGCAGTGCAGGTGTTGCTTTGCAGTGCAGGTGTTACTTTGCAGTGCAGATGTTACTTTGTAGTGCAGGTGTTGCTTTGTTATTAACTGCTTTAGTGATTCTGTTGTCCAAAACTTTGATGTAAAACTGAATATTCAAATATTTAACACACTTTTAGGTCAATATTCACATGTGCAATTTTTAAACCTGACTTTAGCCAATTTTTTGTGGCTGTTGTAAAGGTTTACCGTAAGAAATACGTATATACCACTAAAATGTACTTACGAATTACTGCCAAAATTGGTACTTAAAACTCATCAGCTCCAATGTTTCTCATGAGTTATGAGGAGAGAATTAATAAGGCATGAGGCATGTCATTCACTTCATACATCAGGGATCACAGTGCCCCCTGTTGTTGGTCCGGCCACATTATCAAAGTATGAATGTGAGGCCTAAAGAGTAACCCAGTTTACTGAATGTCAGTGTAAGTTGAAATGTCTATGGGAAAAAGGTATTACAATTGAAAATCTTGTTGTTTTACATGTACACTGTATGTAGGTGCGGAGTGAACTACAATGTGCATGATCTTCTCGCCTTGACCAGCAACATTGTAGATCAAATGAGATCCACATATATCAAGTCAAGTGCCCAAATCACTATAGGCCCACCTTGCCCCTTGCAGCCCTACTACTGCAAAGTCAGGGCCGGGGAACCAGAGAAGACGCATGTGATAGATATTGCCAACGGCAAGGCACCAGGACCACTGTGGTGCGGTGACCAGCAAGTGGACTGCTATCCAGACGTTGACCAGTGGTTGCTCAGAGCGACCAATATCATGCAGGTAATGTTTGAGCTTGCAACGAGAATTGATCCAGGAATTTGGGCTGCCAGAAGCCTTGTCTTTATGTACATGTATAACTGCTAAGTGTGTGGCAAACAGTCCTTGGTTGTTACAGGGGCTAATCAATCAGAGTGAGGGAAGCTAGTTTGTGGTGTCCTTCCAGGATTTGTGATTTGTACCAGGGTCAAAAAAGGAGATGAGTGAGAAGCTGGCTGGCTGTTCATCTCTAGCAGAAATCCAAACCATGTTGATGTGCTCTTTTCCTTGTTCTGCTGCCAAAATGTAACTTCATCCCTGAGCTGTGTATGGATGTTTTTTTGAGGACACTTACTCATTTTGAAATAGATCTTTTTAACGGAAAGGCTAAAAATACACCTCACACGACTCTGACTTTTACAGAACACATCTGCACAAAAATTGCGTTGTCGGGACACACGTTTGATCAGTTACTTGCATTTATTTCAATGTAAATGATACTGTGCATGTATTCTTCCGTATTTTTGCCTTCAAAACAAAAACAAAAATGTTTATGATGCTGCTAGTTGAGGTCATGAAAAGTTTGAACACTATTTCTAAGAAATACTTGAATGATTTGTTAATGAGAAGTTTTGTATACAGTATACTACCAGAGGAAATCCCTCTCTTTCATTGATTCCATTCCATAATTTAACAAAAACAAACTGACCCTAAGTTTAACCCCAACCCCCCAAGGGTTACTGGCCCTAACCTTCCCCATTCACACAAAGATAAACACCCACATGGGACTTTGTGCA